GGAAGCACTGTCTGACGTGTCTGCCTCCGCGACCCGAAAGGAGAAGCGGCGATGGAAGATGAAGATGAAAATCATTTAACTGAAGATCACTTATTCTCAATATCATCTACGCGATCTGTAAAGTCGCAAAAATACAGTCGATGAAAGAACACTAGCTCAATGGGACCAATAATATTAAATGCATTCAAGGACAAAGCTAATAATCACTTCTTTTGGTATATGAAGGTTGCATCATTTAGACCCTTGAAGAAAACGAAATCTTAAGCTAACCAAAAAATGACACAGCTGCCGGTTCTGATTAAGTATAACCTAAACAATTAAGCAGGGTAGAATAAATGGAGCTTTGCCATTATTAAATCTTGTGGGATTGGTATGACGGAAAAAGAAGATTGAGAATGAACGGATAAAATTTGCTATGATTCCAATATTTGCGTTGACTGAAATAACCCTAATGAAATAAGCCTATTATTTGCTCCTGCTAATTCATGCGTGCTATGTTGAACGTAATTAAGTAACATCTAGAGAAGAAATCTTTGAAATATAAAGAATTCGGATTCAAACATGCAGAGGATGTTTAAACTGGTCTTTCCAAATAAACAACTAATAGAAAACAAGAAATAATTGGAATTCAAATTTATTATATTTTTCATTGATTTCGCCAAAGAATTCTTCTGGAGAGATGCCTCGAAAAATATTAGTCGTATGGAAGCGCAACAAATGTTATTCGAATATTTGAAAAGAGTGCATGGTCCTTCGTCACGTGCAGTACGAAGAGATCACATATTTGGCGAATATTTTCATACAAAGCTTAGAGTAAGACGAGAAAGAACGAAATCTCCTACAATTTTTACAATTTTATGACGGATAGCTGCCACGAATGAGCAAAGCCACGGGGGCAGCAAAACTGGATGCACTTTCATAAACGCTATTATGTTTGTGGAGAATGGCTCATTGCTTGCAGACAACTTTGAAACTAGGACTTCGCTGTTCCAAACTCTGAAAAATAGGTGTTCTGGTCTGGTTCTTCAGATTAATTGAAATAAGGCCAAGTGGATGAAAATTTTAAAACCTGGTTCAGTGGCCACATTGAGTACAGGCGAATGAATAATAAACGAAATTAAGAAGCGCCGTGCATTGGTACAAGGAGCTCAGCAAAAAAGAAGGCGCTAGCTGTATTACAAAGTTACGAATATGCAAAGATTTTGAACATCTTGCCCTATCACCTGGACATAGAATCACTTTACGAAGTTCACAACACAAGGAAATAAAAATAAAGGTAAGACCAGTTTCAAGGACATATCCATATAGAATTACGTGTT